ACAGAATGCATCTAGAGGGGCACTAGTCCCTAGCCCTTTTCCGAGGGCGCGAGGGAGTGAGGTGGGAAGGTGGAAGAGGGGTGGACCTTGGGACATGACTAGGAGTGGTGTTGAAGGCATACGCAACCTTTAGTGTTGCCCCCAATGCAGCCACCTCTGCGTTCATGGCTCGCACACATTGAGCCAAGTCAGATAATTTTTTACTTGCATACTGTGGGTCAGCATGTGAGGCGTTGGTGGTTTGAAGCACACTATTCAAAGTGTGTTGGACATGGGTGAGGAGGTTGTAGAGAGGGGCGATTGGGGACTCGCCACTCACCGAATCTGCATATGTAGGGGGGGAAGGCCTGGGTAGGGAGGGAAGAGGGTGGGGGTGGGTAGGGCAGATCGACATGCATTGGCTGTGGTGGTGGGGAGGGGGGGGAGGCACGAGACAGCGCGTAGCACTTCTTCAGCGAGAGTGCCAGCATCTGGAAAAGCGCAAAGGAGGGGTCCAAACAGTACCGGGGAATGGCATATCCATGCAACTGCCGAGCCTTGCTCAGCTTATTGCGTTGCTATCCTTGGGGGAGGCTATGGCATTCGTGAATATGAGAGATAGTCTCCATGTCCAGAGATATCCAATCTACGACAGTCGCCGGCTTATAGTTTGAAGGGTATGCTGGCAAGTCACCCCCAAATTAGTCTTAGTGGAATGTCAGGTCAGGCATGCACTGCTTCTTCCATTCAGAAGAGCGGCTTGATGTGCAATCATGGGGGGGTTGACTAAAAGTTTGAACCTTTCCATAGAACCTTTAAGGCTCTACAGAATCTACGGCAGCAACAGGCCAGCAAGAACTGCACCAGAAACCTCCATCAGGGCATTGTCCGCCACAGGCTGTGCAAGATGTTTAAATTTTGGAATGACGATTTTGCGATGCGTTGTTGATTCCAACACATCCACAGTAAATAAAATTCAAGAAAATGAAATAAGCAAAATATAATCTACATCATACTCATTTCATTTTCTTCAAAATATTGCAATGTTTCAATATCAACCTTTGCATTTCTATGCGTTTCGTAGATGGAGTTCTCTGAAATCACATAATTGAGCTGAATTCGTAACTTTGCTTATATTAAATGATATAGATTCCAAGCAAAGAATCCTCATACCTCTACAGAATGATCAATTTCCAAAACACAATTGCAAACATGAGTTGTACGTCTTGTTGGTGCACTGCCCCAAACAAAGGTAAAAAACACATTTGGTTCTCACCATGAGTGGCATGCAAAAAATAATATGGATTTTTGAGACCAAACTGGCGCTTCAACTTCCTAATTGCATATGTGTCTTCAGCTTCTATTTGAATTACTCCTCAGGTTATATCTTGGTATAATTCTTGGATTTGTGAGAAATTGGGCTAGTTTCTGGCAGAGAACTTTGAACAAGTACATTATCAGTGTGGTGTAAAGCACAGGGGTAGTGTGTTTGTTTGATTATAAGTATCTGGAAAATATAATAAATGTTAATGGGCAATCTCATCTCTTAGTAGACCTTACTAAGAACCCATAGGTTTTTGAATCAAACCATTCGGGTTAGCGGTAGTAGAGATGTAGCTATTAGAGGTTACAGTACTTAAGGTACCCCTCCGCATCGTACTGGGGGATGACTTACTATCGATACGGTGATGCTGTCCGCACTGTCACGTGACATGGGGCACGCCAAAGGGTGACCTCAATGCCAGGCTATCGTAACTCTTGCCGACCACTCGTCTCCGCGCGGCTGCATCGGCGAGCCGCACCGGCGTCGCGCACCCACTGTGCGCACTAGAGGTGGCCACCTAGATCCGCTAATAGCGGACAGAGGTTAATTTCCGTTAATTTTCCGTTAATTAACGGAAAATAACGAAAAAAGACAAAAATTAACCAAAAATTAACGGATTTTTGGATTTTTTGGGGATTTTTGGGTTTTAGTCATACTTATAGTTTATGGAATTCGCTATTAGAGAGTATGTTTGTATTTTATTTCAACCTATGCATACTAGATTTTCAACTAACCGCAGTTGTTGTGATTTTTTGGGGTTTTTTCGATTTTTTTGGATTTTTTTCCTTTTTTTCTGAAATTTTCTCCCTTTTTCCTTAACGGAATTTGACGGACAGCTGATAAAAATTAACGAATAAAATTTAACGGACCGGATGGCATCTTTGAGTGGCCACCTCTAGCGCGCACTGCTGCCACGCGCCCGGCCGATTGCAGGACTGGGCCCACACTACGCACCTCAAAGGAACGAGCGCCCCGGATTGCCCACCAGTCATCCGGCGTAGGAGGCCATTCCGGCCGGATTGGGCACCGCGGCGTGCACATCGCCCGCGCATCGAACCGAAAACCACGCCAATCAGATTATGAACAATGCTTAAGATATTTTATACTCGGAATATGAAAGTGTGTGGGTACAATGACTATGAGGGTGAGGGAGTGGTTAATATATAACGTGTGATATATGGTGTTTTTATGGTAGAAAGTAAATGTGGTGAGTATTGTGTTATGGTGAATGCATATGGAGACAATGGAGACGGGAGATGAATATTATAGTAGTGATTGTTACTTAGCTAGTACGATCATCCTGTAATGCATCTGGCTGCAGTTTTGCTTCCCGTGCCTGGGAGCAACCGTGTGCGAGCATGTGCGAGAGAGTCTGGTCAACTTGATAATGATGATACATTAGAGCATTGGTGTGCATACCATGACACGGTTATTTGCACACCAGTGATCCGCGAATAGGGTGTCATACTTGTGTGGTGAATACGGTACGGTAATTGTATTCTCTCTCGCTTAAGCAAACTATCCTGTGACCCCGCCTCGCAACCTTGGCCAACCCAGCCGGCGGACCCCGTGAGCCCCGTGCGCCTGCCTGTTTCCGAGCATACCACCATGAGCACCATGCTCAGCACGTGCAGTCCAACCATTTGGACCCAATGGAGGTGGAGCATTGAGTGGCCAACCACCACGCGCATCGGAGGTCCCCTCACGACAACAAGGGCCTCGAGGGAGGTTGATATACATTGACGATTTTAGGAAATAACAGTGCCCTGTGAGACAAATTTTATCCTTTTCCCCAAAGTGGAAAAAGCGCATCATAATGTTTCAATGCATTAATACTGCATTGAAGAGTAGAAAAATGATATAAGATTTCATTTTCTGTCAGGAAATCCCCAAAGCACTGCAACCAACATTCCTTGTGTACCGCAACCAGCATTCCTTGCATTCCTTGTGTGTGTGGTCTGCAACCGTGGATGTGTCTCACAAACAATTAAGACTAGGCAAATAATTCATGGGAATTTCCTGCGTTGCAACAGCCTGGAATATACCCGGGCTTGTAATTGTGATGTAATGTTAAGGATTGGAGAGTTTGGAATCCACCTGAACTTGATAGCGTGACATTTAGGAATACAAAGTTTGGAGCCAGACTAAGGGAGTCGTCAGAAAACAAAGCCGCCCCAACCCTTCGGGCCCAAACTCCTGAACTTTCAGTGTACTCCTTCAAGGACTGACATCCTTCCAAGGAAACAATGCACAATTTCGTAACTTTTGCAGTTGTGGCCGACTACCTGCCATTCGTCGCTGCAGGCCACCTGTTCATGGTCGAGGTCATTGGGCAGACGCACTACCGTATTTACCCGGTATTAGTAGGCACCCCCTATTAGTATCCACCCCCCTCTTTGGGGGTCGAACCCACGTTAGTATCCATGACCCGGTGTTAGTATCCACCCCCAACCCTCAATAGAGCAAAAACGACGGAAGCCGCGGATGGTGGCAAGGGAAGTCGGGGGCTGGTGTTGGAACTCGTTGCCCAGTCTGGACCAAACCGCGTTCCCTGCGATTCGCACATCAACGGGGACGATCGGGCCGGGGCGGATGTTGTCGAGGGAGAATTTGGAGGGGTTCCCGCGAAAAGCCGCGCGGTCGACTGGCCGACGTTGGCGTTCTCAGTGCAGGGTCGCAAGGCAGCGACCGACGCCGCAAGGCACGATGATAGAAGCGATCGAGAATTCAAAGCCGCCCTAGTTTCTGGGTTGAGCCAACCTGCTCCCCGGCCGGCCAGAGCAGGTTCCGGCCTGGCGCTTGGCACGGGTCCCCCAATGCCCAGCGCCAGGAATGGGCAGGCGACGGCATAGGTCGGGGCAACTGCCGTTGCGAGACCCCGCCTTGCAAAGCTGGCCGTAAAATGCTGCGAAGGTGGGGCAAAACACATCTCACTGGCTACCAGGCCACAGACCCAAACACAGATCCCATCAGCTTTCCCAGCCGCCATCAGCGATGGAAAACGCCGCGTGTCGAGCATCGTTGCAACGTGGTGCCCCAGCGAGTCGAGACCCATGTCAGGTCTTGTTCTTTGCACTGCAGAGGCAAATGCGCCTGGAGCATTCCAGCGAACCCCTGACAGCCCCAATCGCCAGTCGCCACCAGCTAGTGCAGCCCCAAGTCAAGGCCGCCAGTTCCTGTGAAGAGGCTGATAACATTCCGCACTAGCATCGCCATTTTTGTCCATTTTTGGGTATTTCACGGCCTATTGTCAAAAATTTTCTTTGTCTACTCTTTGGAATCAGGGGTCCAAACCGCGTTAGTATACATGACCCGCTATTAGTATCCACAGCTCTTTTTGGGGGTCCAATACATGCCTACTAATACCGGGTAAATACGGTAAGTCGTCCACCGCACAGCGGGCGCCGCCCCGCCCCAGACACACCGGCGGTCCATCCAGGGTCGCAAACAACCCGATGTGCTAGCATGCCGGCATGGCTCTGCCCCCTGTGCGTCACAACGGCGACTCGAACAAAAACACCAGATGCACTTGAAAATGGCTCGCATGCCCGTCAGAGTGCCAAGCCATATTCCAGCCGCTGTCTTCCCCGCGTCGATGACGCCCCTCCCACCAAATTTCCATTCCACCGACCAGCAGACCACCACGGCCCCGCCAGGGCCCCGTCCCCAGACGTCGGGTGCGCCCCGCGCTGGCGCCATGTTCGCGTCGGAAGACGGTTTTCACTCCTCCAAGGGCGGCGCCCGCGACAGGTGAGCCGAGATGCGCACAGGCACGGCGGCACACGGGGGGAGGCGGCGTTCTTGATTCGGTCGCGCGGTTTGATTCTGACGCGCCGGGTCGCAGGAGCGATCAACGAAAGGGGACGGCCGTGATCCATCCCGCGTCGCGTTTCCGTGGGAATGGCGTGGCGATCATGCGGGGCGGAGCCGCGGGGGGGGGGGGGCCAGCGTGCGGTGGTCCGTGCGGGGGGCGAGTTCTGTGCCGAGGGCGGGGGGCACGCGCTGGTGCGCCGCAGCGCGGCCATTTTGGACGGCGCCGTGCTGAGATCCCAAGGAGCAGTTTCGTGCGCTCGGTGGGTGATCCGGAGAGTCGATATGGACCATGGGCCCTCGCGCCGGGGCAGGGGGGGGGTGCCCGTTTGTGCGGCGCGAGCTCGCCGCGGTTCGTTTTGAGGCCAGCCGTTTTGTGCCGTCGTCCGCGCAGAATGATGGTATCCGACGAGGACCGGCAGATGAGCCTGCCGCCGGGGCACGTCGCCGAGCACCCGGGCGCGCCGACCACGCCGGCGAGGCCGGTGTCGGCGCGTGTGTTCCAGACGGCCGTGTCCAGGAACAAGAGGGCAGGAGGCGGAGGTGAGGCCTGGCCCTGTTTGGGGTGCCGCGGCTCGGCCGGCGGATTGTGTCGCCCTTGTCTGTTGCTTGGGTGCGCCGTCGGCGCGGGGCGCTTGGCGGCACAAGCTGACAATCCCCGTAGGATTGAGCCCGGGCCCAGGGGGGGAGAGAGGGGGGGGGGGCGGCGAGGGGGCAGGGTCCCAGCTGATGGAGTGGCTGAAAGGGCCAGCGTGAAGGTGCAAGCGCCGCTCGAGGCGCACATGCATGGTCCAATGTGTCAGTCGTGTGGGTGTCTTTGTTGAAGAGCGACGAAAAACACTTCTTGCCCCTGGGCTGGGCAAAAGCTGCCCTGTCGCCTGCAAGTTGGGCGCAAGTCCGCACACAAGATGTCCATGGTCAAGGGCCGAAGTCGAAGTCAGGGAAGTCCGTTTGCAAACAGATGAGTTTCCAGTTCCCATCCTCCAAAGGAGCGTGTGACTTGAGTGAAGCCAGCTGGGCAACGCTGCCCAGCTGTCATTCTCTCTTGGCCTGCATTCTCCCCTGGCCATGCAAGGGCTGCCACCCTTTGTTGCCCCCGTTCTTTCTTTCTGGTTGTCCTATGCTGTCTTCAAATGAAAACGAGATCTCAGAATGGGGATAAGGATAGGCTCACAAGTCATGCAAACTCCACCTTGGTTGTGCTTCACCTCTAGCCTTGGTCATTCCCTTCGCCCTGTGGCTGATAAGAGCATCACAAAGTACCCTGCCGGTTTCTTGACATTCCAGTAAACAGTGTGAAAATTGAATTAGGCTGTTTGCGTTGTAAACCAAGGATGTTGCATTGTTGCCAATACTTCCATATTTTGCTGGAGTCTGCCTTCAATACACTCCAGATGTATTCAATTTGGAGCGGGCTGTTTTCTTGCCTGGCATAACAACAAACTTGTGACACCCCATGTCCTACAATATGTGCAGATTCTTTCATTACAAATGAGAGTTCATCTGTGAAATGTTGGAACTGCGCACGAGTTTTCTTTTGCAACAGGTGCCCTTTCCACTTCTTCCTATGCTGGCATCTGCCATGCAGGGAAGTGGCTATTGATCTTGATGTGCGCCTGCCCGCTGCCACCTTCATCGGCCAACGGCCATGGCCCTGTGCTTGCGAATGCAACAAAAGAAATTCACCTTGAGCTGCCCTTTTGCAGTCCACATGTACAGCAACGACCTGTTTGGCGATGTGACCGACGGGGACATCCTGGCACATGTGGACGAGGCTGCGGACTGCTCACCACACTCACAGGGCCACCAGCCGGCCCCCCTCCTTGCTGGCGGGGTGACTGTGCAGCAGCGGCTGCAGCAGCAGAAGACCCTGGCAGAGCAGCGGAGGCTGGAGAGGATGCGTGGGGGAGTAGCCATGTCCAAAGATGACTTCGGTGGGAAGGCAGCTGCAGGGCCCATTGGGCACAGGGGCCCAGAAGGGTTGCCTTCGGGAAAGAGTGCTGCAGTGTTCAGCATCCACGATGCCACCAATGGGGCACTGGACTCCCCAAGTGGAGACCACTTTCAAATTGCCCCTGCTGGGGATGTAACCAGGTGAGCAGCCCTTTGGAAGGTACAGGGGACAGTATCACGATGGGAGAAGAGAAAAATTGCATGGGACATGGGCAAGGAGGAGCAGTGCAGATCGTTGTGATGCCAAGGGGCTCTTGCACACATAAGCACCCCCCTGTCATCGTTTGGTGTGGCCAATTTGTGTGCATGGAACACTTGACTGTGGAGTCAAGAATGCGAGACAAAATATCCCTGAAACATGCAGTCCAGGTAAAGAGTTGCAAGATGCGGGACTGTCATCAAACTGCATGTGATGAGGCAAGGAAAGAATGTTGATTGGAAGATCAGCACAGTCGCTAACAACAGCGATGTGAAATCATGAGTGTTGCTTGCATGAAATGCAGTATCAGGGGTTCACCGCGATGAGCTCAGGACTGTTGCTCTTGAACAGTTACAACAAGTACCTGTTAACATACAACTTGTGGGACTTCCAGACCTGGTTGTAGAAAAGCACGTTTTAGCTCTAGCAGGCTTGCTGGTGTCCCTTTACCCTACTCCATTGTTGCATGGATGCCAGAGTGCAGCAGCGAATTGCTTTTGGGGATTGAGTTACAGAATTGCAGAATGTTGGGGCCTGTGGTCCAATGATAGGTGAAAACTGGTGTACTTTACACAAGACCTTCACATGAGCAGTGGGACAGGAAGATGGGATGAGGTATTGGCTAAAGAGCGATATTGCCTGCATTTTATTGCACACCTGATCAACTTAGAGCAACAAGAAGCTAATGGAACAGTACTGACGAAGTTGTAGCATCTACAGTAGTGATAGCAAGAGGAGTTGTAGTCGCAAGAGTAGTAGCAGTGGTTACACTAATAATGACAACAATGTAAAAGTAACACGAATATGAATATTTTGGTGGGCAGGGTCAGGCACGATGGGCACAGACTGTCCACTTACCTTTGCCTGGCTGTGGTGCCTGCTGGCAAGGTTTTCAGACCGGTCCAAGGTGGAAAGGGATCTGGAGGAGAAAGGCATGGACACCGTCTTCGACCCCACTGGGGGCCTGGACACGATGCCCTCCACCACACAGCCTGGATCAGAGGCTATGTCCAGATTTGCTCTCCCTGAGCATGCCACTAGGGACGAGCTGCGCAAGTTCGTGATGATGCCAGGCCCCAGGCACCACCCGTGCTTGTGCTACATTGTGAGGGACAGGAAGGAGTCGAAGACCTACCCCAAATACAGCCTGTTTGCAGACGACACAGGGCAGCTGCTGATATCTGCCAGGAAGCGCAAAAAAAGCCGATCCAGCAACTACCTGATCTCCTTGGATGACAACGACCTCGGGCGGCGCAGCGAGAGTTATTTTGGCAAGGTGCGGTCGAACTTCATTGGCACAGAGTTCAGCATATATGACCGGGGGGAGAACCCGCTGAAGAGGGCAAAGGTGGCAGGTGGGGGGGAGGGCGAGGGGGACGCCCCACCCATGAGGATGGAGCTGGGGTCGGTGCTTTACCAGCACAACTTGTTGGGCACGAGGGGTCCCAGGAAGATGACTGCGATCGTGCCTAAGGTGCCCCCTGCAGCGCAGAGGCCGGCTCAGGCTGCCGCCGACACAGAATCCCTTCTTGAAAGGTGCGATCGAGCTTGCCCTGCAAGCAGGCGGCCATGTGCTGCTGCTTGATGGCCTTTGCCTTTCAAGCTGCGTGGTTGGGGAATCCTCAATGGGAATGGCAGTTTGATGAACTGTGTGCCATGCACAAGCTGCCCTGCAGAGGATCCATTCTGACCTTTTGCCAGATCTCTGCTGTCCTGCCCCATGTGCACAATGAATGCCCACTTCACACCCTTGCAGGCGATCAGTGGGTGCTAATGCTGGCACGTGAGTATTGAGTTCATTTGGGTTTGTTGACCCCATCCTGACAGCAATTCCTGGACTTGCCGCAAGAAAATGGCGTTTGAATCCATGTTGCCATTTTTACGATGGTAGCCACACAGAAGACTGGATTTCTTTTCTACTTTGGTTGGTTTTATTTAGCTATTTTTACAAGTTCGGACATCTGCGTGCGCTGTGCGCACACTGTTCTCTAATTAACCTGGTGGTGCAGCGTCGCACGATCGGCAGCTATTTTATATATGTTGTTTTCATTATTGCAAATTGTTGCTATGGTCATCCCTGTGTTGTTGTTGTTCACTGAGTGCATCTGTTTCCCCTGTGGCCATGTAATGGTAGGTACAAGAGTGGTAAACAACTGGGAGATTTGGTCATCGCAAAGAACAAGACGCCGAAATGGAATGACCAGGCAAGTGCCTAATGGGTCCCTTTGTCTTGGGCGATTTCCCCCAAGTGTATGACTCCTGCACGGGCCATGTTGCTGAAGACTTATAAAGGGTGCTGCACAACATCACAATTGAAAATTTATTCACATATTTGCGCAATACAATTGATCATTTGTGCTTATCCCAGATTGGGAGTTGTTGAACCGGCAGTGACATGGTGATTAATGGCAAAGGCTGGCTGCAGCCATGTGCGCAGGCAAATGTGCGAATGTTGCAAATTCTGACTGTATCCTGGACTCTCCCCTGTTGACAACTTTCTGCTACCTCAATGCTGCCAATTCATGAACGGAAGACGATGGGCTCCAAAGCAGGCTTTGTGAAGGCAAACCATGGCAGAACACTTATTGTCCGTTCTGCCCAATTGTTGAGGTTCAACCGCATTAGTTCATTGCGTCTCGTTGTGCCCCAGTTTGCCCCTTGTCTGTTTCATGTCCTGTTGAGTGGTGCATCAGCGCCGCTGGTTGTTTTGTCACCTTCCAACATGCTACCAACTTGTACATGCGCCGTGTGAGCCATGTACATCAACGAATCCAAACCGCATGTGAGCTCTCTGCACCACAGGCCATGGACAAGGCGCAGAAAACATATTGCTCACCTGTGTGGCCCCTTGCGCTGCAGCTTAATGCCTACTGCTTGAATTTCAAGGGGCGTGTCACTGAAGCTTCCGTGAAGAACTTCCAACTTGTGCCTGAAGACGATCAGGAACATGTTGTCCTGCAGTTCGGGAAGGTAGTGGCAGTGATCGTCTGTGGCTGAGTGTGTATTCGTTTGGCCGTTATTGTTAGTAATGGCATAATATAGTGCAGCAATAGTTAATGGTGGCGTCAAACGCAGCGATTGCACGGCATTCTCTACAGTCCACTGCATGTTGTTCCTGGTGCATTGGAGCACAAGAATATCCGCAAAACGTTGCACATTCACGAAGACCCAAGGAGAACCAGATCTGTGCGATCGAAAGGACGTTATGGCGTTTGTTGCCTTCCATTTGTAATGCACTGTCTTACTCCTACTGACCTCAGAACACGAGGAAGAGCGAAGGACGGAATGTGCTGTCACATGTCTTGTCATTGTTCTTGATGAGCTGTTGGCATGAACAGGTGGTCTTTGGAATTTACTGCTGAGTATTGCTGCAGTACTGCCACACGCCTTCAGCGTGAAGAAGTTGCCACCTTGGTATTCCGATCTGTAGACGTGAGGAGGACAGTACGTATCAAAGGAGTGGAAATGTGTGCCACAGAGTGGGCCTCCAACCACCCAAGAATTTGGGTTTTTTATCACGTGAGACATGCCATTAAACAGCATAGAATGCAGCCAGCGTGCTCGCAGCAGTGGGCAATGTGCAAAGCAGTACAAAGCGAGTCGCCAGGGAATAGGTTCTGCTTGCAGACGCATCGGTGCTGTCTTTGTTCCAATTCCTTGTAAATTCATTGCTATGCAGCGCCAAGCATGTTAGAAAGAGTCGGACGGGACACGCGTTGTGCTGGGTGCTTGCGGACGCCCTGGACATGCTGTCTCTGAGCATGCTGTTGGAATCAACTTGGGCTTTTTTTTGGCGGACGCTGTCCGCTGGGTGTAATTTTGTGCTGTGTTTGCCTGTTCTGCGTCGCTTCTGTGTGCTCGTGCGCGATTTCCTGATGTATCAAAGGATGATGTGGCGCAGGCAGGCTGGTGAAACAAGTTCTTAGTTGCTGTCGCAAGTGGTCGTAAAGCACTTCCTCACCCGAAGTTTGAGGAGGGTGCTGTCACAGCGCCCATGAGTTGCAGTTGCCAGTGCATGGCACACAGCACTTCTGTGTGACGTAAGGTCGCAGTTGCAACTCGAAGGGATAATGCAAGCTAGCAGCCCGACTTCAACAATGTATTCAACAATGTGACCGTGGCATTTCCCTATTGCAATCGACAGGCAAGGCAAGCTGTTGCTGGCGAACAGGTCGTGACAGGCTCACGAGACAACCAAGGTTGAACTATGTTGGGCTCAAAAGTTGGTTTTGTCACACTACAACGATTGGTGTTGCTATGCATATCTTCAGACTGAACGCAGTGCCCTCACCTCTGACGCACATCTGTCGCTGCGCAATTGAAGGGGTGTGCTGTGTCCAGATCGGCGAGGACACCTTCACGATGGACTTCATGTGGCCGATGTCCGCCCTCCAGGCCTTCGCAATTTGCCTAACGTCGTTCGACAGCAAACTGGCCTGCGAGTGACGTTACCAGAGACCCTAGCGACGTCATCATACAGCCTTGCCAACAACGCGGCACATGGCGCCCACTTCAGGGCAGCCGTTGCTGACATTGACGGCCGGAAGGTCGAACGGGCCTCCCACGTAACGACGAACGGATGATGGGACAGGTCAGGATGGGGCCTCAAGGTGCCTGGCCTGGCAGCGCACCTCCAGGAAGCCCAACCCGCCGACCGGCCGGGCTGCTCCTTCCTTGCCGGCACTGACGCTGCTCACGACGTGCATGGACTGACGGGCGTGCGCTGCCACTGGAGAGGAGCAAGACTCATTGGACCGTTACAAATCCACAATTGTTGTAATGTTGATCCTTGCCGATTGGCTTCCCCTTAGCGGCCCGTCGTCCCAGGGCTTGCATGAAAATGGACGCATGCTTTGCCATGCGTCTAATACACCGGTGGATGGTGTTCCCACAACGGCAGTCGCCCCGGCGCTGGGGCCCCCTAACGCCACGGCGCCTCTCATTCACACGTCCTATCAACAACTTGTGTCACGTCTCTTGTGCGCCCATGTGCATCGCAAGGACTTTCCTTCCTGGCTGACGATGCCGCAGCACGCCGTTGGTCAGTTGGACGCCCCTTCGGCACCCGTGAGGCCGAACAGCCCCTGCTCTATGTTCGCGATGTGCCTCCTGCTCACCCATATGACGTCTGGTGGCTTGGCCGGCATTGGCGTCCGCAGGATCGCGTACACGTCGTGGTCCCCAGTGCTCCGTAGGAACCTGGCGTGGGCGGAGGGGCGGCAGGTCAATGACAGCGGCACGGCAGCAAACACTGGCAAAAGATTGGCCAGCTGTCACGATTCGATGCCGTGCAGATGGGGCAAATTGCTGAGGGCGCATGATATCGTATGCCACATTATACCGAAGGTTTTTAAGCCCTTCCGCACTGGGAGATGTTACTGTCGCGGTTTTTGCTTCGCATTTGCTTTTTAGAGCGTTATTTTTATCATTTTCACGTTGGTCTGCAAATTTAGTAAAACAGCGTTATTTATTTTGTTGTTTTCTCTGCAAAAAATTGGCAATTGTTTCGTTACCATACGGAAGGGTTTAAAAACCTACAGTAGTTTTGAGTGGAAATATACTTAAGTGGACCAAGTCGTGTAATCTTGCCCATGTATTTTCAGTGCCTATTCCGCCCATGGAATTTGCCGAATTAGACTCCGAGGATAAATTTCTGGTGGCTTGGTGTTACCTGGCGCGTAGCGAATAAAATCGCCACAAGATCTTTATCGAAGACACTGTATCTTGACATAGCATATTCATTTCTAAGCGGGAGGTTGAAGTATGCATGTTGGAAAAAAGAACACCTCGGGTGAAAATGGCCCATAGCTAGAGATGCTGAGCACCACATCCTGCACTCCCTTTATTATGTAAACAATAAACTCTGTTTTGGGAAAAGCTGTATAAGGTCCAGCATTTTTACAGTACTTCCTTGTACTAAATTGTCCTGAAAGGGTATTAATAGTGACAGTTATTGCCATCATGGCCGTCCCCTCATTGTTGCCACTAGCGTTTCGACAACCCGTCACTGCATCTCCGCCAAGATAGGCAAGATTATATGGGCACATTACATAGGCCGATGCCCCTCACCCCCTGGTTGCTGGGGTGCCTCACCTCTTCCCCTTCTTGTCCAGCCAGATGTCCCCCGTGGGTAGCCCCAGCGGTTTGGGCCTCCCCCTGTGCAGCGCCTGGAACAGGTCCCTTCGGCCCAGCCGGTCCTCCACTCCTGGCAGCCACCTCTTGCCCTTGGCGTCCAGCCACTGGTCGCCGACGGGGCCGCCGGCGCGCTTGGATATGTGGGGGGTTGGCGGGCACACCTGCTGCAGGATGTACTTGAGGTCCCTCGCGCTCCGGCGGGGGGGGCCGCGAGCTGGGGTTGGGGAGGCATCCTGCCTGGTCTGCTGCAGCACGTCGTACATGGTCTCGGTCTGTTCGCTGTGGAGGGGGCAGCGGGAGGTTGGGGTGAATGGGTGCGGATGGCATTTGGAAGAACATGAGGAGATATTGGAAGGGGAGTGAATGGCGGCAAGACGGCAGCAAGTTTTTTTTTAATTTGTTTTTTTTGTTGCTGTAATAATGGGGCCAATCGATGCGTTTGAATCCATGCCGAGACGCTGCGGAGGTGCTGTTCTGGTTTCCGTAATTTGCAGTAAATTGCCGTAATATATCGAGGGCATGGATGACGGCGCCCCCATCATTGTGCGGCTTTGTGGTGTTGCTGTCTTGTGCAAAGGGAGCGCCGAAACTCAACCGGAATTTTCCCGCTCGTGCGATGCCGGGCGCATGATATGCATACATTTTGATGCAGCAAATTGCAGGTGTCTGATCTGTGCGCACGCGCATGCGCCCAAAAACAGGTGCACAAACTTGATGGACGCACCGCCGCAGTCGCCCGGAACAATATCCCAGTGCAAAGCAGATTGGCACAATATTGACAATATATATTGACAATATCCCAGATTGTAAAGCAGATTGGCATGCTCCGGGAGGGGCAGAAAGACCACATAGAATGGCCGTTGCGTTTCGTATTGGCAAGTCTTGGAATTCTCTCCCACACCAAAAATTTGCAAATATTCGTGTATGAAGAGTCTGCTTTAGGCTTGTTATTCCTATGACAATTGAAACTATTGCGCCACACTGGCCGTACCAAATATTCTCGTCTTGGTTTGCTCGCTTGGCGCGTGCCTTGCGGCCACCTGGCGCCTCCAGGTGGCGCCTTCCCTTTGGACACTCCGCCATCATAGGCTCTCTGCCGGTGGGCGTCACGTAATGGTCCATATACACGCGGGACGACCGGTGGGCGGCATCCACCTCGCTGGCAGGCTTCCACATGTAGTTGCCCTCTTTGTCCATGCAGTGGCCAAACGGCGTCGCTCCCACTTTGTCCCACATGGTGGTCTCCAGGGTTAGTTTGCCCGCGTAGTTGTCCGGCAAATCGCAGCGGCCCATCTGCACGCGAAAGACAAGGTTTCCGTGTGCGGAGACGTCCGTTTGGCGTTGTTCGGCAAGTGCAGTGCCGGCCATTGAAAGCACTGCGCGGGGGAGAACGACATACAGGTCGGGGGGTGCGACTGTGCCGGGGGCGAGTTGGAGTTGATGCACTGCAGCGCCATGGAATTGCGACTAGCTCCCCTCGACCACAGCATGGTACCTCGGCACATGGCCGCTGATTTGAACTCCGCGATCGCCCAAAACGCTGGAGGACCATGCCGAGTGAAAGGAAACTGGTGCGCGGCACCTTGAGGGGGATACTTGTTGCTCGAACGATGTTCGGGGTCAAAAATTTTCAAACACTGCCAATCGCCTCCACGGCAGATCAGCGTAGCTCAATGCGTCCATTGCTCTAGCGGAGCCAAGCGACGGGACGAATGCCTCCGCTCCAGTTAGATGTAGCGAGTTCGCTTGGGGGGTGCTGGTCAGCAGATTTCTTGCCAGGTGCTTACCGCCTGCCGCTCGCGCAGCGTTTTGCTGGTAGCCTGCAGGCACGGGTCTTCGATGTCGTCATCTCTGAACTTGACGACGGCCCTGTGCACTGAGAGGGGGTCGTAGTCCGTCTCGATTATCACGTCCCTGAAGACGGCCAGCTTTTCATTGGTTGTCTGAAGAGGCAGGACGATAGAACACTTCACTGTGCCCATGGTCTGCGCTGTGTGGAGCTATTCCACAACACCGTGCTTTGTGGTTTCGTTGAATAGATGCCAGCGAGATGAAGCAAGTTTTAGAGAGGAAGTGCAGGGTTGTGGGCGTGATCCATTCACTGAGTTGTGCAAAGTGTATCTGAGAGAATCCAAATGAAGGTGAATTGGGTCTTCCAAGTTGAGGTAGAGTTTTAGGTGTGGGTTTCTTAGGTGTGGTGAATGTGTTTGAAAGATATAGCGCTTCTTTAGAAGATTTCTGGATTTTGTACTGGGTGCAATGCGCTACCAAAATGTACAAGACGCATCATGTCGTGCTGCACGCAAAATGGTGTTTTTGTTGCGGTACGGCGAGCGACCGGCTGATGCTGATTCTCGGGACCACCGTATAAACAATAAAATATGTACAAGATATGTCTAGCTTATACCGACACAATACATGGAGAACTCAAGGCAGTTCACCGTGCCTCGTCTCTTGATATCATATGTTCTGGATCACAACATGGCAAACAGCGGCGGATCAGGCGACTGCTTCTGCCATCAACCCTGGGAAGAGACGTCAGCACAGTGTATGTCAAGTGTTGCATAGCGCATGCCGTCGCATCATCGCATAATTTCGCGGCGCGTCCCTGTTAGGACCTTTATATACGCATCGTATTGGCTCCTCAGGCGTGATTCGATGTCTTCTATATTCCTCTGCCCCAAGGCCTTCTGTATTCTTCCCTGTATCTTGCCGAACACCTCACATTCCCAGTCCGTGTACAGCTGGGCGCGCTTCCTTCTCCTCACTTTGTCGGCCCCTCTCAGCAGGTCTTCCAACTCCCCCGTGACCCCAGAATCGTAAGACAGCCCCTTGTACACTTCCTGACGCCACTCAAATGCACCTTTCAGCAAATCTTAAAGGAGTTTCCGTACTTTGGGGTGTTGATCATCTTTTGTCCCGCATACACTGTCTCTGTGTGGTCGTCGCCATCCTGCTGAATATGCCCCGCCGTTTGGGGCCGAAATATCGCGAGCACAGACCTTCAGCGTAGCTCGAAATGCCAGAGATTGTGCACCCATTCCGAAAGCATGAAAAAGTCTATTCAAGTCACATTTAGATATCTAATGAAAAAGAATCGATTGGAAAATTCTGTGGATCTCAAATTTCAACTTCGCAATAGACTCAAAAAGAAAGGACAACAAGCCGCGACTACACTCGAGTTCGATGCCAAGCGTGAATGATTCATCACGCAAGACCAGGCGAGACCGCTGTACAGTGAGTGCTCAACAACTGCATCGGAGCAATTGCATGTAGATGTGCGCCTCAAAACCTGCTTCACTGTGCTTGCGTATCCACATTCAGCAAGGCAGTTGCATTCTAAGCTGCGTCCGCACGATAATACGACCTGGCCCCAAGCAGTGGCAGCGATGGTCCCGGGCTGTAGATTACCAAATGAGAGACCGTTGCGCGTGAGACACGACAACACAGCTCTCGCCTGCGCAGCCTCGTGCTGAGCGTCCTAAATAGCGCGAAGGTGTTTTACGGTCTGCGGCAGCGACTTTGTGCACTGGAAGCTTCCATATCACGAGAAGTCACCTCCTGTTCCAATAAAACTTTAGATTACTCCAATTGCGCTCCAGGTATAAATACCCGTTGGTGACATTACCCGGGATGGCTGACCAGCAGTTGTGACCACATAAAAGTGTGATAGTGTGACGGTGGGCCCATCGGAGTGGCATTATTAGGGCATGCCGTGCCGCAGGCAACTCCTGGAGATTCCCCAACCGTGCCCCATCGATTGTCGGCATAGACATCATAACATGTATCATTAGATGCACGAAGAATACCTGGATTTGATCTATCCATAATGTGGCAATTTTGCAGCCTCAGAACGGTAAACAGTAAATTGGTCAGCAGTAGCTCGAAGAATCATGCAAACTACAGCGTAATTCGCTGGGTCTAACTGCCTTACATTGCGCAGTACTAGCGCCCATCCGTGCCCCTAGAACAGCGCCTCGTGCCTGGTCATATAATGCAAAATTGCATGCAACATCCCATTCGTCTCATTTAGTTGTGGCACAATGCTCCCTGATCAAAACAATCACCTTGTACATTTTTTGGAACTCTTCCTCCTTCCTCTTGGAAAGCTCCTGCTTCTTCCTGTCCGTCGCCTTTCGAAATTCTTCCTCGCGGCTCCTCTTGGTTTGCTCCCTGGCTTCCCTTTGCGCTCGAACTCGGTCCACCACAACATCCGTCCCATCCGAGGAGCCTTCGCCGACCAAATCATCCGACTCGCCCTTAGGCGACTGGTTCTTATCTGTCTGCTCAAACAGCCGATCGTTACAGTTGGAACAAAGGAGGCAACGGAGTCATAACAGCCATGCTCGCGGCGCGGGCGCCGTCAGCGTCTCTGAACTTACTGCGCAACAAAGCTTCGAATACATTTTTGTATAGCATTTGTGAGATAATTTGACACCATGCGCCCGAATGCAGGCTGCTTTTTCATATTTTCTGTTGTTGTGTACGGAAGCAGGGCGATCGACAAGGCTGTGGATTTTACAGCTAGGTCGGCAATATTTTGAGGATATTGAGATGGGCCAGTATTGGATTAATCCAGTTTAAGTGTCAATTTTGGGCAAGGGGTTACTGAACGGCTACCTGTTCAAACGACCTTCGCCCCGATCCGTTATATCAATGGGAATATTTTGGGATAAAGAAACAGCCGTTTTTCAGGCAGGTCAGGTCTCCAGAGAACAAGGAACATCGACGTGCATAATTGAGGCGGAGCTCCACCGACAAATGCAAAGGCTGGAGGAGCTAAGGACCTCAGGGCCTTCGGCAGTGCGGGAAGGACTTTCTTCACCGACGCCACGGGCTACGAGGCTGCGCGGCTCCCTGCGACGCGGGAATAGGACGAAGTTGCAGGAGGTTGGGTCGCTAATGACAAGGTAAAGCTCGCCTCGGACCGTTTCGAAGCAACGGCGTGTGGCAGATTCGGACTCGCACCCATAAACAGTATGCTTGAGATGTATTTGTCTCATGTAGACCGGAGATTTGGATATGTATCCAGAATGATGTTTTGTTAGACTTAATATAAACAGAGCAAAACCCTAAAATATGAGCTTTTTGTCTCCTGCTGCCACGCGTCAACACAGTCAGATCACAGGGCACAGTACTGTAGTATCCATGCTGCTCTCATGTGATCATGAATCCGTAGGTCATCGACATGACCGTGCGTGTGTGCAGTTGTATATTTTTAAGTAATACTCGCGGAGATAGCTTTTCCGTGAATCTCCATTCA